CGGGGCCCCGGCGTGCCCCCGCTGGAAGCCTGCTGGCTCAGGCTGTTGCTTTAGCAAGGAGGTCACTCGGACCAACTTGTCCCACCAACCTTCCGCTAGCCCATGAGCCTGCAGCAGCCGGCTCCACCCAGCCCCAGTGACTCTCCCACCACGGAGAGAGATGTGTCCCTCATGTCCCTCTCCCCTGGTCCCTTGCACCCCTTCCCCATGAGGCAGAGGGCTGGGTCCCTTATCAGGGAGAGCAGGATCCCTCACACCTTCCCCCCCACTGTCCCTCATGCCCCTCCCCACTTCGGAGAGAGACGTGTCCCTCCTGCCTTCTCCATGGGGTCCTGGCTTTGCCCCCGACGCATGCCAGGCCTGCTTGGGGCAGTGGTTTCCATGGTAACCACCCTGCTGTTCCCCAGGTTCCTGAGAGCCCAGAGGAGCCTAAGGACACAAATGGGACACGCCTGGTGGATGCCCCTGAAAGCAGAGACGAGTTATGAGCCCTGCCCTGCACCCATCCCTGGGACCCCTAAGAGCGTGCACCTGGGGCATGGACTGACCCTGCACTGGGCTGGCCTCTCGAGCCCTGTCCCCGCCTCAGGCAGCAGCTACTCTCCAAACGGTGGCAAGGCCTATGGTGAGCGCGGCCTGGTACCTCCTCCTTTTGCAGAGCATCCCCAGCCAGGAACAGGGCCATCCTCCAGGCCCCCCACATGCTCCCAGCCTCCACCCCATCCTGCAGCACTGATGGCCCAGAAGCCAGGCCCAGCGCACTGAGCGTCGCCCACAGCTCCCCCAGGCAGCGACGCCAGTACCAAACACCTGTGCCCCAAAATCGTGAGATTGACATAAATGTCATGAGACCTGACACCCAGCTGTGGTGGTTCTTTGTCTCCGCTGCCGGGTGCAGGTGTGGGGTCCCAGCCCTGCAGCCAGGAGGGTAGCACTGGATGGTGCTATTGAAAGCTGAGGCCTATGGCAGCGCCTGCCTCTCGGAGTTGGGGCTTGAGGAACCTCTCCGATACCATGAGCCTCCTGACAAATCTCGAGCGAGGGCAACAGTAGGGTTACCATATTTTCAGCCTCCAAAAGGAGGACAGTCCACAGCCCCCGGCCCTGCCCCAACCCCGCCCACGCCCCCCGCCCAACTCCGCCC